ATTCGATTTTGTAGTCACATTTTTAATTTTGTTAGAGAAACATATGGCAGTTATTTACCGTTTGGCTTGACTTTACTCAGGGAGCGCCTGGTGAGGATGGTCGTCCAGGACCTCCTGGTCCACAGGGAGCCCGAGGACAGCCTGGAGTCATGGGATTCCCTGGACCAAAGGGAGCAACTGTAAGTAAAAAGGGAAAAAATGTACCTTCTATAAGGGAGTAATATTTTACAGTGTGTTGCAATGTGTTTTATTTATTTGCAATGTGTTTTTAAATGCATGATTCAAAACTGCACAGTACCTGTTCAGCAACATGTGGAGTGCTGCTGAGTAATTTTATATAATTTGATGAGCATCATCTGTATCCACCTTTGTTCTCACGATAGGTGCAAAGGGATCAACAGCAGCATTTTCACTAACCACTGGATTTTATTTCTGCTTTTCTAAGGGTGAACCTGGCAAGTCTGGTGAGAAAGGACTGGCCGGAGCTCCTGGTCTGAGAGTACGTTCATCGTGTTTCCATTTTATGTTTTAAAACTAACGCTGCTCAGATTGACCGCTGTGTTTTTATGAAGCATTAATTAATCACGTGCATAAAAACATAAACATGTTATGCTAAAGTAAAGTCTCTTTTTAGAGCCAAATATTTGTTATTGTCAGAAACTATAAACTTTTGATTAGCTTCATTTTTCAAGTACACAGTTTCAGCTTCAGCACGAGAAGCCTCAGTTATAGATCTGTCAGATGGCTGCCCAGTTAAGAGCATCACCTTTGGCTTTAGTGCTGATATCTGTCAAACCTCCTCCTCCACCTCCCCACCCCATCCTCCTCTGTCTCTCTTTCTTCCTCTCCCCAGGGTCTGCCCGGCAAAGATGGAGAAACTGGCTCAGCTGGACCCCCTGGCCCCGCTGTACGTATCTCTATCGCTCCCATGCCACTTTATATACCTTCAACACCGATATTATCTTATCCCTTTTCTACGTCTGCACTTAGAAGCAGTCTTTGTTATCTCCATTTCCCAGACTGCTTCTATGAAAGCTCTGTCTGGGAAAAAAAAAGTCCTTGACCAAATTGTCTGTACATCACGTCACGCCATCGCTGACTTACTGACTTTCAACTTCTTTTGAAGATTATGTTTCAGCAAACTAAACAAACCTTTTTGAACTAGAGAACATTTTGTATATGATAAATATTTTATTTTTATAATGTTTACTAAGAAGTGGAAGGTTTCGCAGAATTTTCCCACCGTTTTAACTGTCAGCCAGACATGAAATTGCACAATTTTAATGAATTATATAAAAGTACTGTAATTATGACTTTTAGGGTCCTGCTGGAGAAAGAGGAGAGCAAGGACAGCCTGGTCCTTCTGGCTTCCAGGTGAGTTTGCATACTTAAAGCTTTGCTATAACACCTTTGAGCATATATGAGCAGTTGTATCGCTACTTTTATATTGTGCAGTTACACATAGAAACTTCTGTTTATTGCTTTTCTTCTGCTGAGCAGTGCCAGAATCGGGAACCACTTATTTTTTCTATGACCACAGTTGTTCATAGTGCAACAGAGAAATATATGTATCATTCCATTTTCCATTTTAATGGAACGACACATATTTAACATGTATGCTAATTACATGAATTACTTGTTGTGAGCATACAGGAAACATTTTCCCGGTAAGATTAAGTTAAGTCCACTATTTAGCTAGAAAACTGCAGCTAAAGGGGCTCAAAAACTCTGAAACTGGGCACCT